TGCCTGTATCCAATATACCCAATATATATGGATCTCTTGGTAAAACTCTTCAGTGTTTTGCTTAATCTGGATTCTGCATATGGCTTATCATCATCTGAATTTTGATTCTTCAAACTTGAGCCAGTAGCCTGCCATAGTGTCTAACTTAGATTTGTCAGCTAATGTAGCCTGTCATCTGAACTGATAATCTGGGGCTCATCAGCACCTGAAGCTACATGAATCAGGAGAAGCCTCCAAACTAGCATCTGATCCATGAGCTTGGCTGACCTTGCCAGACCCTCCAAAAACAACTACCTTGTGAAACATTTCATTGAGATAACTTTCTACATATACAGCTTCACTGGTTTTAATTCTCTGTAAAACTCACCTGAAGACACTTTCATTAAGTCTTGGTCTATCACACACTAGCTACATAAACTCAGAGAAGTTACTTGTTATATCTGGGCTTTAGTTGCCTTCTCTGTAAAATGAGAACCATAATATATATCTCATAGGGCTAACTCAAGGTTGAAAGGTGATAATGTAATTTAAAACAAAGCTCCCACATAGAATAACATAAATGGCAGAGCCCAGATCCACTAGCACCTAGTTCAGAGAAGGATACATAGCAGATATTCAAATAATTTTTTGGCAAGACAGCAAAACGAATGGATCTCTGAAGAGAAACAAGACACTCAGGTAAAGGATGCTTACACATCCACAAAACTACTGGTTCTGTGGTCTATCTAAAGAAAAAAAATCACTGCCATTAAGTCAACTCTAACTTGTAGAGACCATCACATTTCCAAGGTTGTAAATCATAATGAAGAAGACGGCTCATTTTTCTCCCCCACAGTGTTACTGGTGAATTAAAACAATCAGAAGCTCAGAGTCTTTCGGTTAACAGCACAACTTACTATGGACTAGGCCACCAGAGATCCCTTGTGGTCATTGTTGTTGCTGTTGTTATGTGCCATGAGGTTGCCTGCAACTCATCGCAACCCTATGTATAACAGCTCTGAACTCTGCTCTATCCTGTATAGAAACAGAAAAAAAGTATATATTTAAGGCTAGAAGTAGGGTGGGACAGGAATATTTTGTGGGCTATAGACATGATCTGAAAAGAATAGAAATTTCAGAACCAAGAGGATGTTCTATAAAAAGAGCAAAGCACTTCTTAAATTACAAGAAGATTCATTATACTTTATTTAGAACTATTCCACAAGTTTCAACTTCCCTTAATAAAAATAGGAAAAAATATGCTAAATAAAAACGTGAAAAATTGGAAGGGGGGGAATCTGAAAAAAAAAAAGGAATTGTCTGTATTGTAATTAATGTTATGGGAACAAAATATTTATGAATAAAGATGATAGGGGGGGAAAGGTAAAGCTTCTCAAACAGAAAGAGGAGGCAGGGATATTTTCAGGACCATTGAGTAAATCTTACTGCAATAGCTTAGTTTAGCAAGGTGACTACGATGAAGCTTACAAGGAAAAGGAAGACTTATTCAGCATGCTACTTTCCACAGTATGTTGTTGTATACCTTCAAGTCACAACTGACCCATAGCTGACCCTCCAATGGATTTTCAGAGGCATTAGATCACACAGGAGGAGACTGCCTATCTTTCTCCCTAGGAGCATCTGGTGGATTCGAACTTTGAGCCTTCAGGTTGGCAGCATAGCTCCTTACCACTAGACCACCAGAGCTCCACCTTCCAAGATATATTTCCAAAGTATATCTTATTTTAAAGCCTGGAAGCAGGAGCGGCATCCACTTCCGAAATGGCTTGCCTCTGGAAATTCTATATACGAACAGTGCTCAGGCCTTTCGTTCATAGGGTCACTATGAGTCATCTATGACTTGACGGCACCTAACAATAACAACAATCTTATTTTAATTCTTACAAAAACTAAATGAAGTCTGCATTTTCTCCAGTTTATAGCCAAAGAAAGGAAGGGTCAAATATAGTATATATCTATCTAGCTCTAACTCATAGCAGAACTGGAAATCAAATCCAAATCTATTTCATGCAAAAAACTCACTTTTTCTTACTAAGTTAGCAGAAAAACCATTCAGGATGCTTCATGACTAGGCAGTTAGTAGGCAATTTTCTGAGTGTGTCCCTGCCACCTCTGTCCTAACTTTCCCACAGTTAATGTATTTTACGGACATGCCTGTTTGAGTGCAATTGTTATGCTTGAAAATATAAGGCACTGCCCCTTGAAAGTAACTTAACAATTTTAGCATCCTATATGTCACTCAGTCTCCCTAAAGCTTGAAATGAAAATAGGGACTTGCTTTCATATTTTCTCTTTCTAATTTCTAATCTGATGTTTGCTGTTTACTTTATTCAGAGTACAAAGATCTTTTCTAGTTATATCTTGCCTATATATGTTAGGATATTAACTAACCTTTTCACATGCCTCTTGTAATTTTCAAGATTTTGGTCCTAGATCCCATTCACCAGCTGACATAGTTCATGTTCCCCAAGGGTTACAGCTGTCACCTTCTGTTCTCTGTGACCAACTCCCCAAGCTTCCTCTATATTAATCCAATGACCTCAACCTCTCACAGCTCAAAGCAGGGCACAAGGCCCCTTCTTAACTCATTAATAAATTACTCCCTGGATCTGCTTTTTAATATTTGCAAACTCTTTCCAGGGCAAGAAACCAAAATCCACAAATGAAACTACTACTCAGGAATGCATCATTGCCTTAAGATCCCTTGGCTGAACATTTTTGATCCTTAACTTTAAAGTTTCCTCATCTATGAGGGGCTCATCCTGAAATGGACTTGAATATGAGAAATTGTCAGGATGGTGCAGGATAGGACAAGGTTCAGATCTGTTGTCCATAAGGTCACTATGAGTTCTAGTCAATTCAACACAACAACATACTGAAAATTCAGAAGATTGCCAGAGGAGTCAGAAGGTTCTTATATAGTTCAATAAAATCGTATCTCCAACTTTACAGAAATGCTGGCCCACAAGTCACAATTAAAACTATCTAGTAAGTAAATGTGTCACTTTCCATGCAGCCAACCTCCTATTCCCACCGTTTTAAGTCTTCTAAAAGTGTAATGCTTTGTTTTTGTTATGTGCCATCGAGTAACCTGCAACTCATAGTGACCCTATGTATAATAGTTCTGAACCCTGCCATATCCTGAGTCATCTAATTCATATTACCCCAGTTACTGTGTCAATCCATCTCCTCGAGGGTATTTCCTGTGCTGTCCTTCCACCCTTCCAAGCATGGTGTCATTCTCCAAGGACTGGTCCCGCCTGGCCATGTGTCCAAAATATGTGAGGTGGAGCTTTAAAACCCTTGACTCCAAGGAGAAACTTGGTTTCACTCTCTCCAGTACAGACTTGTTTGTTTTGTTGGTGGTCCACAATATGTTCAATATTCTATTGACAACCAACTAGTGTCTGGGAGGTACAGACAGATTCGGCTATTAACCAACCAGATGTGCCTCATAAGAAAATCTGGTGATCTGTTCCTAAAATATCAGTCATTGGCCCACCTACAGAGCACACAAAGAGCTGCTACAAGCTAGAATTGACTTGATAGCAACTGGCTTGGCTAATGTAGACATTGATCTAATAGCATCATATATATCATTTCATTCAGTCCCCCTTACAAATTCACGTGACATCACCTAGCTGGTGAGTGGCAGTCAGGATTCAAACTTAACTGTGACAAGATGCTCTCCTAGTCAAAACTTCAGTCACAAAATGTTTTCTTCCCTTCTTCAAGGAAATTGAGTACCACAGCCAAAGAACCCAGAATAGTCTTTGTTGGTTTGGCATGTTTTTGGATGAGAAGAGAAATGGTTAAAAAAACAAGGGTTTTTCTTTGTTTGTTTTTTTTTTAAAAAGAGGTTCTGAAGTCCATCTTCATCTCTGACCTTTTCTCCTGGGAGAGGTCAGTAAAGCAGTGCTCAGTTTCTCCTTTATATTTTTAAAACCCTAACTGGGAAAGGAAAAAACAGACAACACAAATCTCATGTGGGTTCTGTGACTAGGTTAATTAAGCACCACTTCAAATGGCATTCTCTCAGTATCTCACTCTTTGCCTCAACTCCAATGAGTCATGGAATGAGGACAGGCCTCCAGGGAGGTGAATACCACAGCTGCATGGCCATGAACTAGAAATTACAACAGACACAGGATTCTAGTTCTTCTTCCCCCCATGGGCTCTCCACTCCCACATACCAAAAAGAAAGGAAAACAAAACTATCACTAGAGCCATCAGGTGCTCAAGGAATGCCATCTAACCGAGTGAGAAGCTGGCATGTCCATCTGAGCAGGCACAACTAGTCACTTAAAACTAAAGTGCTAAGTCCTCCTCCATCAAAGAAAGAACAAATCTGTCCTAAAAATGGTACAGCCAGAATGCTGCTTAGATGGGAGGAAGGTGAGATTGTTCCACATATTTTAGACATGTTATCAAGAGCAACTAGTCCCTTTAAAAGGATGCCATTCCTGGTAGAAGATCAACTGAAAAGACGAAGACCCCCAAGGAGAGGTCTTGACAGTGGTTGCAGCAATGAACTCAATTGTGAGGATGATGCAGGTTCCGAATGTTTCTTCTGTTGTACCTAAGCTGTTATGAGTATGAGCTAATGCAACAGCACTTAACAGCAAAGCCCTCCATCACTGTATGTGTATGAACTGCGCCTTGGCTGAGCTTTTAAAATGCCCTACTCTATTCTCCTACTCTATTCTTTCTGTTTATCACAAGCAATGCTGTGATTCCCCACCTACTTTATGAAACAATGTTTTAAAAACCCAAAACACATTATTAATAGTCAAGACTTTCAAAACAAAATATGCTTGCCAAGATTTGTTTGGCCAAGGAAATTTACTATCTCTCTTAAAACACAGGATTTAAGGATCAGTTCCAATTCTCTTTTTGCTAAACTTTTCACCTACTCACCATTTGAGAGAAAAATCCTGACTCTACACAAAGCCAGCATCTTAACATCAGACTCTCAGCACCCAGTGTTCAAATCCACTTACCCTCACTGTTGGGACTGATGTCTTCCACTCCGAACACAAACCTCTGGCCACTCTGTGGTGGAGTGTGATCTGGTGAGAGACGATGTGAATGAACAGCTTCCCCTTCAGGATGAGCTGGAGGAACATCCATTTCTGAAGTCACTGCCCCTCCATCGGGGTAGGGCTGGATGTGTGCATTTCCATGGTATGTCAGTTGGCCTTCCTGGGAGGAATCCAGTGAATCTCTGCCTAACTCTGGTAAAACTGGCCTTCTTGTTTCTATATGTTCAGAAGGCTGAACTTGGCTACTTAAACTTGAAAAATCTGTCTTTCCATGAGGTACCTCCTCTTTAGTTTGATGATTCTGGGTGCTAGATTGTGTTTCGGGGTTGAAATATCTAGGTGTTGGATGAGGGGTACCCACATCAGAGTCTGGTGGAGACAGATCACCTCCTGAAGGCCTTGAGCCAGCATTCATGTGGAAGGAAACGTCAATAGAGCCGTGGCCATTCCCTGTCTCCTCTGGTTCACTCGGGGGGTATTCAGCTTTCTCTTCATTCTCATCATAATAGTCCAGATTGTCTTCAGTATAGTCACTTTCCAGAGCTGCAGTATAGCTGAAGGAATAGTCCAGTGAAGTCAAAGCGTGGTCTCGGGAAAGGTGCTTTCCAGCGATGGCTGGCCTGACATTTTCCAGTGGAAAGGTGCTGCCGATATGAAAAGCCCACACGCCAGGAATTCCCACGTTGCTTAGTCTAAACAAAGAGAGAACAGCTCATTGTAACAAAAGTGCCCATACACCCACTTTCCTATGAGGTGGAATAGTTTCTTTTGAACCATAAAACTATTACAATTTAATTCAGATATAAAATAAAATCAGACTCTGTGGTATCTAAAGCAATGATGCTAGAATATTGTCTAATGTTTAAATTTGGAGACAGGAGTGGCATCCACTTCCTGTTTCCTCTAGAAATTCTATGTATGACCTTTGAGAAAAGACGATAGTTATAGAAATGCTTCAGGTCTTTCATTCATAGGGTTGCTATGAGTCATGCTCAACTCCATGACAATCTACAACAACAATGTTTAAATGGTTGGCAGCTAAGTGGAAAATCAGTAATTTAAACCTGCCAGGACAAAGATCTACGAGTTGGCTTTTTTAAAAGACTATAGCTATGGTAGCTCTCTGAGGCAGTTCTATTCTGTTCTCCTTTCAGTCTTTCAATTATCCAAGTGATCAATTCTAGAATACATAATGTAGTTTTAATATAGCAATTTATTACTCTTCTTCTTATATACAAAATATTACACTCCAAGTCTGCTATCCAATGAAACTTCCAGTCAGCGAAGAATTAGTTAACGGCTACACACACACACACACACACACACACACACACACACACACACACACAATCATTCTCATTGAATCACTCCACCTCATAGCAATCTTCCACTGAATTTCATTTTAGGTAAGTATCCGTATAGTCATGATGGATTTCTACAATAATGATCATTTCCAATATAATTCTGAGAAAATTTCTTTTGCTAAACTTTTCACCTACTCATCATTTGAGAGAAAAATCTTGACTCTTCACAAAGCCAGCATCTTAACAACGGAATCTTAGCACCCAGTGTTTGAATCCACTTACACTCAGTGTTGGGACTGACATTGTCTTCCACTCTGAACACAAACCTCTGATACACACATATATGTTTATGTGTTCTTAATGTAATGTGCCATCGAGTTGCCTGTGACTCACACTGACCCTATGTACAACAGCTCTGAACCCTGCCATATCCTTAGTCAGACTCACTGACTCTGACATACCTACCAGCATTACCCCAGTTACCATGTCAATACATCTCATCTAGGGTCTTCCTTTCCTGCACTGTCACCCTTCCAATCATGACGTCTTTCTCCAGGGACTTGTCCCTACTGGACATATGCCCAATGTATGTGGCACAGAGCTTCAAGATCCTTGCTTCCAAGGAGAAACTTGGATGTCACCCTTTCCAGCATGGACTTATTTATTCTCTTGATGGTCCATGGTATGTTCAATACTCTTCTCCAGCACCACAACTCAAATTCTTCTTCTGTCATTCCTTACTCATTGTCCAGCTCTCTGATACATAGCAAGTAACTGCTAAGACCAAGGCCTGGATCAGGCACATCTTAGTTTCTAGAATGACATCATTGCTCTTTAGCACTTTGGAGAGGTCTTGGACAGCAGAATTCCTCAATGCAATTCATCTTTTTATCTCCTGACTGCTGATGCCAAGAGTATTTGTTGACTATAGAGCCAAGCAAGATGAAATTAACAACCTCAGTCTCTTCTCCAGGTATCATGATGCTACCAATGGGACCGGTGATAATAATCTTTATCTTCTTGATATTGACCTGCAATCTATATTAAAGACTACAGTCCTTGACCTTCTGCAGCAAATACTTCAGGTCCTCCTCAGTTTCAGCAAGCAAGGTTGTGTTGTCTGCATATCATAGATTGTTGATGTGTCTTTCTCCAATCCTGATGCCACATTCCTCCTCATAAATTCCAGTCTTCTGAATGATCTGTTCCATGTACAGACTGAAAATGTAAGGAGACAGGATGCATTCCTGATGTACTCTTTTCCTGATTTTGAGCCATGCTGTTTTACTTTGTTTATTCTCACCACTGCTTCCTAGTCCAAGTATAGGCTTTGCATGAGCACAAACAAGTGTTCTGGAATTCCCATTCTTCTCAAGGTTAGCCAAAATTTGTTATGATTCACACTATCAAGGGCCTTTATACAGTCAATGAAACACAGATTCCTCTGGTACTCTTTGCTTTCAGTCAAAATCCATCTAACATTGGCTATGGTATCCCTGGTGCCATAGCCTCTTCTAAACCCGGCTTGCTTTTTGGCAGTTCTCTGTAAATATACTGTTCCAGTCATTTTTGGATAATCTATAGCAGGATTTTTTTGCTTACATGTGGTATCAGCGATATTGTTCAATAATTTCCACATTCGGTCAGGTTACCTTTTTTGGGAAGGAATAAATACCTATCTCTTCCAGTCAGTTGGCCAGGTAGTTGTCCTCCAGATTTCTTGGAAGAACCTGGTAACCATGTCCTGGGGGCTTCTATTTGTTGAAATATGACAATTGGTATTCCACCAATACTGGGGGCTTTTGCCCCCCAAATTCCTTCAAAAGCAGCTTGAACTTCCTCTTTCATCAACATTGCCTCTTGATCATATGTTTTTTCATGAAATTCTTTTGTGCCAGCAGTTCTTTTTGGTATCTTTGTGAGTACCAAAAAGAGTGAATCTGTGTACTCCTTTCATGTTCTTTCAATGTTTCCTGCTTCATTCAATATTCTGACCATAGAATTTTTAAGTATTGCAACTTGAGGCTTGAATTTGTTCTTCAGTTTATATATATATATTTGCTGTTGTTCCTACAGCTGTAGTTCATTCCTTTCATTAAAGCAGAGCACAGAAAGTAAAACTGTGATTCTTTGTGAATTTGCTAAATTCATAAAAATCAGGTCCATAAAAATTAACGTTGGTGTTTCTGGCAAGCAAATAAGGAAAACTAGAACAGATAAGAAAATCCCAAGAACTGAAGACAACTGAGTTAATATCATATTAAAGGTGTTACAGCTGTGAAATTTCTTCTTGAAGTTAGAAATTTTTAAAAAAATGATAAAAAAGTTTCAGAGAGCAGGAAAACACAAATTATAACAGATGAAAGCTGAGGAAAATAACCTTCTAATTATAAAATATTGCCCTGGTTTTTGCCATTGTGCACAATGAGAAAATAATCAGTTTGGATTTATTTTAAAATCCAAGGTCATTTGGAAGTCAGTTAAGAAAAAAAGATTTATTTCTGAGAAACAAGTATAAGACTACAAACTGGGATGACAACATTTTCATTTTCTTGTTTATTAGTAAGGGTGAATGAAAACGCACGTAAAACATGTAGTACAGGGCTTTCTATGTTGTAAAATTCAGTAGCTACTATCCTCTCCTCCAGGAAACAGAAAAGTATAAACTGGAAAATGTACATGTATGTGTTCCTATTTAAGTCTATAGAAAAAGTTATGACAAACACACTAAATTATATAATTAATAACATTTAACTGTAACTCTACTGATGATTTGAAGTAGAGCTCATGGATAGATTTTACTTTTATACTACATTCTGTGTTGTATTTTATAGTAAGAATGAACTTCACCAAAGAAAAATTCTTTGTTGTTATGTGCCATCGAGTCATTTACGACTCATATCGACCCTATGTACAACAGCCCTAAACTCCGCTCTGTCCTGTGCCAATCACACTGCCTCTGGCACACCCATCCCGATTACCCCAGTCACTGAATCAATCCACCTCACAGAGGGTCTTCCCCTCCTGCACTGTCCCTCCACCCTCCCAAGCATGATGTCCCTCTCCAAGGACATGTCCCTCCTTACAACATGTCCAAAGTATGTCAGATGAAGCCCCAGAATCCTTGCCTCCAAAGA